TGGTCACCTCCTTCTGAGTGGTGGGGTACACAGAGATTTCCTGATATTATTTACTTAATAATCATAATTTTCTCACTGACTTGTGAGGTGACTTCTGCCAAAGACTAAGTCCCCAAATATACACAGATCAATTTCTGAGCTCTCCTTTCTGTCTCTATACTATTTATCTCTTCCTGCATCGATACCATGCTCTTTTTATTAATAAGGAATCTTAGTATTGGGAACAATGAGCCCCTATATTATTTGTTCTTTCTCAAAATTGTCTTATTGTTTCATATAAATTTTAGAAATCTGATTGTCAGGTTGACTTCAAAATTCATTCAGAGATTTGGGTTGGAATTATATTGACTTTATAGATTAGCTTAGGTGAAATTCACAATTATATAATATTTTTTCATTCTGGTAAAATAATTCATAAGATAACAAGCAATTTGAAAATAGATTTCAACTAGATTTTAGGTACTTGTTAAAAATTTAGGTTTTTGCAGAACATCCCAATGTTCCTAATTTGAATTTCTGGAGGCAGGGGCCTGGAAGATAAATTTGTGAGTAAGACGTCTCTTGAGTCTTACAAACACTGAAGTTGAGAGTCACTGGACAAATACATCAGTCTCCCGACTTAAAATTTGGTAAAAATTTTCCACTTGGTCTGCTGCATTACAGTCTTAATTGTGGTGGATTCTCCTTCAGAATCCATCACAGATGGACTCAACTTTCAATGCCTTCCTAGGCTAATTATGCTCATGGCTCCATCTCCCCAGGCTCTTCAACTGAAGCCATCTTTGAGAAACTGCTGACATTATTTTTACAAAATAAATTTGACTTCTAATTAATCCCAAGACAATGTCTCCAGGGCAGTAGATCTAGCCTCAGGAGTCCAGTGATCACAGTGCATGTTTCTAATAACCACACCCCATGTTGGTCACTGGAACTTCTGAAGATAGTGACTTATTTCAAGAAGCTGAGAGTCCTGACGGATAGAGGCAGCTAGCACTATTGATGCAGAAGAGAGCTTCTACCTCAAGGCAGATTCCCTCTCTTCTGCTGTCATTTCCTTAGACTCTGGTCTGTGGCTTAGATTCTATTTGTCAGGGAACCCCTGTACCAAATAGCTGCTTCTCTCTAAATTGGAGGGAAGAGAGTACATACTGAGCATTGAGAACACTGACCTAGTCTGGGGCTTTGTGGGGCCTGGACTGGAGTGATGAGTAGTGCTTAAGAAAGCCTCTGCCTTGTCCCCACTTGGAGTTCATACGGCATTTCTGGTAAGTAGGAGGGTTAAAAAGGAGAATAAGGAGCTGCTTTTCACCCAGGTACTACAAGTGATTGGAAATGGTCCCTATAGTTCCTGGAATTTTTCTTGACGATCACACTGGGTCATGCTTGCTCCTAGCTAGATCTATCTTTCTTTCTTTCTTTCTTTCTTTCTTTCTTTCTTTCTTTCTTTCTTTCTTTCTTTCTTTCTTTCTTTCTTTCTTTCTTCTCTCTCTCTCTCTCTCTCTCTCTTTCTTTCTTTCTCTTCTTTTTTTAAAGATTGGTGGACTCATGATTAAATGAAACAGGTACTACACCTCTGTCTCTTCTCTTACTTTCCCATTTATCTCTCTGCTGTGT